TGAACAGATCTTGAAAGACGAAGAAACTAGAAGGTAAAAACAAAAATATAAAAATCCAAAAGTTTTTACTTACTTATTAATTCTGACTTCTTCTTAGTTTTCAGAGAATTTAGATTAATAGACATTTTTATGAATATGAAGAATATGAGTGTAGTCTATGAGATTAAAAAATGATTTTTTCTTTACGAGGATTTGTGTATGCAAATGAAATTATTTTATTAAGTTCACTTTTGACAAACATAGTAATATATGATTTCATGATTTACGTGATATTATAATTATGCATGATCTACGTGAAAATAATAGCAGATAACAACAATGACGATACGTACGTATCTGGTATGTATAAATGTAAGTACAAATAAATTATAGCGAATGCTAATGTATATTTAGTTCCTCCATTTATCAGGAATTGCAACAATGAAATGTAGGTACAAATAAATTCTAGCGAATATTCTTTTATACTACCCCTAATGTCGTAAAGCCGAAAAATTAAGGGTTGGGATTGGGTCTATTGTTATTTTTGAAAAGCTGATCCATTATGTTGGCATATCAATGTAAATTTACGCGTTAACATTTTCTTAAAAAAGGAACATCTTATCCATAGCGATAATAATTATAATAATTAACGTTAATGATATGCCTCTAATACGTAATAATCTTGGAAGTCTATTTCATTGGCTACGAACATGGTTAGATTTTTTAAGTAATGATTGGTTAATTAAAATTTTATATAAATTTTACACAAAAAAAAGCCTTGCATCAAAAAAAAATTTATCGTTATACATTATCATTATGCTAAAACTTTTCATTCGTACGACAAAACCCCCCATGATATCTCGTCTAAAGTCAACTGCTAATATCGTCGCACCATCCACAGGAATTGACGCAAAGAAATTGACTGTTTGGAATGTTTATGGAACCCCTTTAACTAATCTTTTTCTATGGGGTTCGATAACCTATATCAGTTTACAAGTTGTATGGTGGAAATTAGAATTCGCAGAACTTGTTGAAGAAACGGATAACAAGGTCGCAAATTTAGAGAAAGAAATAGAGATATTAAAAAAAAAATAGAAGTCATGCTTGAACAATTTCACAAGGCAGAAAGAATAATATTTATCGATTATATCTTTTAAAGATTTGTAATTTTTTTTTCGTCTTTTACAATAAAAAGACTATTGTAAATACGTAAAAATTCGCAAAGTCTAAATCTAAAACTTGACTTTATCCAACTTTATAATTTATCTAATTATTGGTAACTCCGTTCTTGTTATTTAGGATACAGTTAATTTTTCTAGCAGCCGCAGCTGAATTTGTTCGGCTTAGTGATCTCTGTTGAATTATAGCTTGAATTTATAGAGTACTTTTCGAAAATAAAACATTTCACAAATAAGAGAAGCAAATTGTGGGCTTGCACTACGAATATGCCATGCTCATTTCGAAGATAACTTCACTACTTATATATACGCAGTTTCAAATTTAGCTTATAAAAATTACGTTGTTGACTAAATGCTAGTTAATAAGCGCTTTTGTCGAATCCCGATCAAACATGTGATAGAACTGGTTATGGTTACACGTTCGATCGATCGTTCGATCGTACGTAAGTAATCAGGTAATTAGTAATGTGATCAGTGATGGAAGTATGATTAAGGTTTATTTTAAAGTAATTAGTAAGTGGAAATGTTGTGTCAATTTTGTCTTTTCTGCGAACCGACTTTCGTTTTGGTTACATCGATCCTTCCTCCTTACTCCAGTAATACTGTCGGGACGGCAGCCATGAATTGTAGCATATTGTGACAACAATCACATCTTGTCGGGACGACAACAAACGTGATAAATACTGTAGTCGAAAAATTAAGTAAAAAAAAGCAAGCCAATGCTTAGAAAGGCTATGTAGGATGCTCGAGGCAATATCCGTATATATTCTTCCTAGATAAAGTACACCATATACAAGTCACTCTCGTTATAGTGAGCCTTCGACATAGTGAAGATTGGCTTATAGTGAAGAATTTTTTAGAACAGAATCATTATTAATAAATTTTCGCTCTATATGCTATAGTGAAGATTTTAGATCAAAATATCTAGAGCTCCAATCCATTACCCATTTACCCATTTATCGGCTATCAATGGATAATTGATCAATGGATGGACATTGGATTATCCGATAAATTATCGGATTAATGCAAGAAATACAAGGAGTGCATATTAATTTAACGGTTGATCTAACGGTTGATGTCCGAAGCGTAGCGAGGACTTACTATGGAGACGTAAATACACTGGTTCCGCTCACGTGATATATATCCAATCAGCGGTTAAATCAATATAACGGACCAGTGGAAAATCCTGTAAAATAAAAATAAAATATTATTAGCTTCGAACACTAACAGCACCTGTTTTCCTAGTATAAAAGGTATTATATAATATAACGGTTAAAATCTAATGGTTAATCTAACGGCTGATCTAACAGTTAATTTAATAGATATTATATATGAGTGCGTCAAAAGAAAACCCGACAATTTAAATATAGTCTATATTTAATTGTCGAGTTTTCTTTTGGCGACACTCATATATAATATAACGGTTGATATAACGGTTGGTATAACGGTTAATCACTGTGCACTGGTTAATCCAATGATTGATAATGAATGTGATTGATAATGAATGTGATTGATAATGAGTGTCATTGTCCGGAGCATAGCGGAGGACTCTTAATTTCTATGCAAAGTGTCTTAAACTTTATAAATATAAAGTAAACATATACTAATATAATATATTTTTATATAGAATAAATCTAACTATAACCAGTGGTGATTATCACCAGGGTGCCTATATCTCAAAAACGTACTAAGTAAACGGGATCGGGTCCTCTAAGTAAAAATGTTCAGGACCCCAAAAACCTCATAAGAACTGAGATCGGGCCCTTATAGTAAGTAGCTCTATATTTATATTATATAAAAAAAAAATAATTCTCTAATTTCTAACCCTAACCCTAAAAATAATTAGGGGTGGTGACGATCACCATGGGTTATTTTGATTATTTTTCTTTTAGATACTTAGAGTATAAATCTATAAATAATGAGTAAAATATTAAGGATCATACTATTTTTTATAATTTTATAAATTATGAAAAATATTAAGATTTTCAAAGTTTTACTAATTAATTATGTCTTTATGTTCTAAGTAGACTTGTTCTATACATAAAAATACATCATATTGCCTAATTTGGGGTCATCTAAAGTGGAGATAAATCATGTGATGCCTTCAATGATTGGTCGAAAATAAGAATGGTAATTGGCCAATAAAAATTAAAAAAAGTATTGAATAAAACTAAATAAAATACTATAAATAAATAACCTCAAACTAAATTAATAAATAAAATAAAATTAAACAATAGATTGCATAATAAACATGGTTTTTCATAAACTAAATTAATGTGCAAAAGCAAAATATTATAAGCTTTACACATCTAAACCTATTAATTAATATATTCACTACAAGTAAATCTTGATTTAAGAAAGTTGTCGGGTCCAGTTTTATATTGAGATTTTCTTATATCAAGAGCTTTTTATTAGTTGGGATTTGCAAAATTTCTCTTGTATCAAGAGTTTCTTATATAAAGGTTTCTTATATTAAGAGTTACTTGTAATTAAATTAATACAAATAAGAAAAACAAAAAATAAAGAATTAATCTAACTATAACCGGTGGTGATCATCACCAGGGTGCCTATATCTTAAAAATGTACTAAGTAAACAGGATCGGGTCCTCTAAGTAAAAATGTTCAGGACTCCAAAAAACCTCATGAGAACTAAGATTGGGCCCTATCGGGCCCTTATAGTAGCTCTATATTATTTTATATAAAAAAATAATAATTCTCTAATTTCTAACCCTAATCCTAAATATATCTAGGGGTGGTGATGATCACCACCGGTTAATTTGATTATAATTCAAAAATAAATATAAATTAATATGAATGATGAATGACAAATTCAAATACAAAATAAATTTATATTAATTAATAAAGATTTTTAAACTAAATTAACACAAATAAGATAGGCCTAAATAAAAAAAATATGATGTAGTGGTAAGTATTAAAAAAAAATTTAAACTAACGAGAATGAATTAGCTAATAGCAAGTATTATGAAAAATTTTAACATATTAATTAATAAATCTTTGTACTACATTGGCTAAAATAATACAACTAAAATAAACCTAAATGAAAAATATAAATATTATAACTTAATAGCAATACTGCGTAATAAAAGATTTTTAAAACCACCAACTAAAATGAATGTAAATTTAAATAAAAGATATAATGTTAATTGTAAATATTGTGAATTTGAATAGTAAATTTAATAAATAAAAATTTGTACTATAGTTGTACCTCTTTATAATCACACTTTTGGAACTATAAGAACTTTTTTAAAAAAATATTCTTGTAAAGAGGTGTACTTATATAGAGGTCTTTTGTTATATATTAGATAGTAATTGGGCGAAGATATAGGTGTAATTATAAAGAGGTTTTTATATGATGTGATTATATAGAAAGTGATTATAAAGAGGTATGACTATAATTAATGAAAATGAAATTAGCGTAATAATATTATATTACTTGAATTCAAATGCACTAATTAATAAGATCTTATACTTACTAATTAACTGAAATAATATGATTAGAATGAATCTAAATAAAGATGTAGCATGAATGAATGAATAGTAAATACAATTAACTTGAATAGCTAATTCAAACATGCTTACTAATTGACTAAAATAATACTATTAAAATATCTAAATAAAATATATAAAGCAAATAAATAAACAGTAAATACCATTAACTTGAATAGCTTATTCAAACATACTAGTTAATAAAATAAGATCTTATATTTACTAATTGACTAGAATAACTTTATTAGAATAAATCTAAATAAATAATATAGCACGAATAAATAAACAATAATGCTATTAACTTAAATATCTTATTCAAACATACTAATTAATAAAATAAGATCTTATATTTACTAATTGACTGGAGTAATATGATTAGAATGAATCTAAATAAAAGATACAGCATGAATAAATGAACAGTAAATGCCATTAATTTGAATAGCTTATTCAAACATTCTTGCTAATAAAATAAAAATCTTATACTTACTAATTGACTGAAGTAATACGATTAGAATAAATCTAAATGAAAGATTAGTACAAATAAATGACTATCAACTTGAATAGCTTATTCAAACATGCTTACTAATTAATATGATTAAAATAAATCTAAATGAAATATATAGTGCAAATAAATGAACAGTAAATACCATTAACTTAAATAGCTTATTCAAATATATTAGTTAATAAAATAAAATCTTATACTTACTAATTAACTAGAGTAATATTATTAGAATAAATCTAAATAAATAATATAGCACAAATAAATGAACAATAATGCTATTAACTTGAATAGCTTATTTAAATGCACCCCTACTTTCTGTACCAAGTTATGTTGATCATGATTGACAAAATTAAGAAAAAAGTTTTTTTATCTTAAAATTTTACCAATGAAATAGCTTTTCATGTTTTAATAAAAAAAATTTCTCTTATAATTTTGGTAATAAATTTTACTTTAAATTCTCATCTAATCATAGCCTAAGCCAACTTAATACTAACCTCAAAATTAGCTTAATGCAGGCTAATATCAATCAATCTAGACCAACGATCAATATAACCTAGCACAGAAAGTAGAAATAAACTGTAAATACTATTAACTTGAATAGCTTATTTAAATATTCTAGTTAATAAAATAAAAATTTTATACTTACTAATTAACTAAAGCAACACAATTAAAATAAAAGATATAGTATGAATAAATAAATTGCAAATGCCATAACTTGAATAGCTTATTCAAACATACTAGCTAATAAAAGATCTTCTAACACACCAACTAATATGAATAAATAAAAGATACAATCAGTATAAATTAATAAGAATAAAATTAGTATAATTGTAAAATGCTAATACGTAACAAATTTAAATATACCAATTAATAAGATTTTTATTTTTACTGATTATAATAATACAAAA